TCATTATATATATATAATGATATGAAGAAAGAAAAACGCTGAAATTTTTTGTGACTTTAATTATATGGGTTATTAAACTTCAATTAAATTAAAAATAACTTTACAGTAAAAATATTATTGTTCATGAAGTAATGTTGAAAGAAAAGAGAAAAAGTAATATATAATGGTGATTGAAGCATGTATTGTATCCTTTCTTTAATACGATTAACAAACGATGACATAAATTATCACAGTTTTCCGAGACTTTTGACTTTTAAAATTCATTAATTGCTTCATCCTTTGATTGAAAGTTGAGCAAAGTTTTGGAAAGAAGAAGCGCTCATAGTACGAAAATGTAGAAAAAGTAATAGTTTACATTGAAAACAGTACATTTCTCACAATAATACAATTACATAATCTTTTCATATTATCGCATATGTTTTTAAGTTTCTGTCTACAATAATAAAAATAATAAATACATACTATAGTCAATGAGAGGAAAAGGAAAAAAGACGCTAATATAAATATCGAAGATCGAGCAAATCGTTAGACATTCGGTTTATTGCTAATGGGTTCTTTTTGCTTAAATGATTGGGCTGATAAGGAACGTTATCAGTAATACAGCCTCTTTACTACCACCCATGCTTTTGCAGCAATGATATGAACTTGTAATTCAGTCATTTTGGAAATGTTAATGCTGACAACATCGATGAGATGTTAAGAATGGGGGTTATGATGATAGAAAATATAACAGGGTGATTTAATGCTTTCAGCAAGAATTTCTTTTCCAAACTAGTTCCGAGAAAGTTTTGAACTTATACTTAAAGGTTTGAAGCTGGAAATGCTTTCAAAGTCAGGCATGCAGATAAAAGAAAATTTTTAAATATAAGTAGCTACTTAATAAAAATTTGCAAGATCAATGTTGTAACAAAACTGATTGTTGATCAGAGCGACTTATAAGATATATTATAGATAGAGCAATACTTAAAATACACAATGATGGAATTGCCGCCAACTTTTATTAGCAGAAAACTGATCTACGAAATTTCGGCTAACTTCTTAATCTAAAATGCATAATTCATTTATTCCTACAATATATTTTGCTTCCTACAATATTATTCCTACAATATATTTTGGATCTGGTAGATATTACAAAAATTGAATATGTAAAAACATTCATCTGTAATCGGAATATACAAAAAAATTTTCGATGGAGTATTAATTTTTCTAAATGTTTCAAATTGTTTAGATGACTTCAGTTTATAGTGTTCACAGATGAACAGAATCACTATTAGAGCAAAGATCAAAATTTATTTTTTGTATGCAAAATATCGTGTATCAGATACAATCAGTGGAACATAAGGAAGGTTTCAGAAACTTAAACCACAGTTTTTTTGGGATACATTTTATTTTGCATACTAAAATATGAAACGTGATATGTGGTGCGGAAGACTACACAAAAATGAATAGATAATTTCGAATCTAATTTGATTTTTGTTTGAGATTTTTTAAATGCCGATAACTGAAGTTAACGTTGATGAATGAATCACTTCAGTTAATCTTAATCCCCGTTTATTAAAACAAACAACACCAGCTTGAAACAACATTGAAATTCTTTACTCAGAACTTTAATTATCACTGTTGATACTAGTGGTATTCTGAAATATTTTTGAATATGCTATTTCATATAATCAAGTAATCTCATTGCAACTACCCATTTATCAGAGTGTGTTGCTATAAGCCACAAATTCTTGATATGTTTATGTGTGTTTCACAGTCTTCCACAGAAATGGAATACTTGCACGACTGATGTCACTAAATTAGGTCCAGGACGGCTAATTGTTATTATAATGTTGTAAACACAGTTCTGAATGTGAGCCGTGTAAAGGAACATACGCAAATTGCTATGCCCTGAGAAAATATCAAAATTTATTGGAGAAAAGCCGTAATACCCAAAAGAAGAATGAATCGAATGAAATAAACCGGTCCAACGCACACATACGTGAAGAAATGTGACAAGAACTGATGCCATATATGACAGTATAGGGCATATATGAATTTCGAAAAAAAATGGAAAGGAATGAAGAAGATCTGCAACAGCATTCCCGTACCTTTTTCGATAATGCTCACAAGTTATTCAGCCCCAATGCTGGAATAAGGCTGGAGAAATGGTATCTATTGAACAAACAGAAACAATTCAGTAGGTGTAAGTGTTGTCAGCAGATAAATTAGAAAATAAATCAGTGTTAGCCAAATGGCTGTTGTTATGAAGAGTTTCAGAGAATCGACTTATTTCCAGGCTAGTCAAGATATGATTTAAAGATTCGAGAAAGTACTATTTTGGAAATTAACTGGATGATCATTAATAAAAAGATGAAGTGGAAAAGAAACTTTTCAAAAGAAGAGACCAGAGCGTACCCATCAGTTTCATGTAACTCGATTTCCTAAGGAATGTACACATTTCTTGTATTCATTTAAAATTAAATAAATATTTTCTTGAAGGATGCTTCCTAACAGACTAATTCTCGCTTGACAATTGGATGCATAATGCACGCTCCACAGAATGGTGGGAAACATCCTGCAATATTGTCGCAGTAAGAATAACTAGTCACATTTTAGACGAAATAAGTGTTTGCATTTGATAACCAGTTTGAAGAAGTTAACGCTAGTTTTATTTTCGATTTCACATATACACACAAAGCATTTGAAGTGGTCTCGCTGAGCAACGGCACTTAGAAGTTCGAGATTACAATTTGTTCTTCGATGATATGAAGTGAAATCTGTGTAGCGCCATAATTTGATAATTTGAACTGTTCCAATGAAACTCCTCGTACGTTGGCAGCTTTCGAGGCAGTAGTGGCTCAATTTTATCCAGCTTTTTGCTATCAATTTCATTTTCACATATATGAAGTATTTGAGTGGATTCTGAATGTTTGGTATTTTCGAGATCATATATGAAATGAGTGATGGAGAAAAACAGTAACTTCATGATTGATTGGATGTGATGAAGGCATTTCCCATCGGAAACTAAGGTTTTGTTCACTCAGAATGTAGTGAAGATATTTTGGGAGTCATGAACATATGAATTACGAACAGTCGTCAGATGGTACATGTATAAATTCCGTAATAAAAAATTTAGCACACAATCCCGTTAACATCACTTTTACTGAGTAACTAACAAAATACTAATGAAGTTGTGCTTTTGAAACCTAAGTAATATACATGACTAAAATCTGACTTCCTTAACTTCAACAGCAAACCTCCTTTTCTTCCCGGAAATTGACATTCGAATTATCTAATCGCCAGACAACCCTGGGATGTCTTTTTCACAGTTCAGAATATGCACCGAGAAGGCAAATATCTGTCTCATGAGGTCATACATATTGGTTGAGAATTGTAACCCGAGGTGAGGTTCAGTTTGTTTGTTGTTAGGGATGAGCGGGTTTGCAGATATAACAAACTGTTATTGAATGTGAAGTTTGCGTTCGAGGAGGCGAGAAGATCGATAAGAATTTCAAGAAACGAAACTGTAAGGGAAGTGAGTAGCTGATTGTTAAGGTGTGAAAGGAAATAAACATTCTCACACGCCATGTGGCTTATGAATATAAATCTAACATTATCCATCACAGGTCAAAATGATGAACTCTGAGTTGTTGGATAAAAATTTTGGAGTTTGTTTTCCTGAGGAGTTAGACGGCGCATTAGATACGCAACAAGGCTCCGCAAATTGCTGCAAATTCAATCGTTGGGGTTCGTTAATTGCCGTTGGAAGTATTGATGGTCGCGTGTACATTTTTGATCTCATAACCAAAGGAGTCGTTAAAGTGATTTTTTTTTATATTATTTCGAAAGCATTATTAACTTTTGATTTTTTCTTCCTAAATACTGTAGTTAAATGCTGCTCTTTATTTGCTATTCTTTATCACCAGTCATTGTTTCATAAAACCATAAAGCTAAATCTGTATTTTAGAGTTGGGTGTGTCATGGTTATTCTATTACATCATTAAGTTGGTCACGTGATGGGCGTAAATTATTAACGGCAAGCAACGATTGGTCTGTCGCAGTTTGGGATGTTCTGGAAGGATCTCGAATTGAAAGACAAATTTATGGTTCCCCTGTTCTTTGTGCAATGTTCAATCCACGGTTTGTTATTGCTGCATCATTACTTCATGTTACCTTCCATGTTTGACATCTTGAAAAAGGCAAATCGAACTATGTATTTATCTTGTTAACATTCATTTTAAATCCTGTTGAATAATAGAAACTCTTTTTATTTGACTTTTTTTAAAATTAATTTCCAGCAAAGATAAACACATATTGATTATTTACTTGGGTGCTAATCCAGTGCTTCTAGATTTGGAAGCGAAACTGCAGACAGAGGTGAAGTTTTTTCCATAAATTTTGAACTAAATATGAGTCATCTACTAAAAAAGAGTGGAAGTAGTTAGCAATACAAAAATTTTAATATATTTACCAACCATTGTTTTGTTCTAACTTGCAATTTTCGGTCTAATGTTCAAGACGATGTTCACCGATCAGCCCGTTCTAGTGATTACATTTAATCCCAAGGGCATAATTTTCATGTAAATTAGTGAGGACAAAATGTATTTCTTTAGATAAAGTTTCCTGAGGAAATCGACGATCAGCCTGGAGAAATTACCGTGGGAACATTTGATCGTAGAGGAAAATACATCGTTACCGGTAGTAGTAAAGGTCGCATTGCTTTTTACGATGCCCAAACATTAGAACTGATCACGTTTGTAAAGCAGAATGCTACGCATCAGGTAATTTTCCCATCTTTTTGGTGAAAAAATGTAGAGTTTGATTAAATGTAGAAGGTCTCAGGATGTTCATATCCATTCAACTTCTTTAAACAGATCTTTGGCGATATCTCTACTAAAATGATTAAAAAAACTGTAGCTACTGATATTATCGAAAAATATTTATTCAAGATAGCTTTCAGTTTGTGTTATTTTCAGATTAAAAATATATTGCTAACACGTCGTGGTGATTTCTTATTAACAAATTCTCAGGATCGTATCATTAGGACTTACAAGCTCGATGTTTTGCTGAAAAAACACCACGGAACTATTGTTGAACCATTGCAAAAGCTTTTAGATATAATCAATAAAGTTTGTTTTTATATTCATATGGCATAAACAGGGACTTAGACTGATTGATATAAATCTTTCTATCTTGTTTCATTCTTCTCTTTTATGCTATAATATTATTTTGTAATAATTGAGTGGGAAACAAGGGTAATAGTAATAAATACAGTTTTATTAAGAACATGCTTTCAATATATGTTAAAATATCAGTGGCTTTTCAGTTCAACTTATATGGAGAAAATTGAAATGTAGAAGTAAATGCTTTTAGTATATTTATAACGTCACTTAGGATTTAGTATATGTTAGATTTGTATCAACTAAATGATATAGATTTTGCAAATGAATTTAGAATTCTTAAATTCGTATTTTCAATGTTACCTCAGTGTATTTTCATGCTTCGTGGAAAGCAATATGCGTATCAAACGATGGTGATTATATCTGTGGAGCCAGTACCAAGGCGCATTCGCTGTACATTTGGGAAAGGAATTCTGGAAGTTTGATCAAAATGTTACATGGCACAAAGGTTTCTCAACACTTGAAATCTCAACGCAGTCAAGTATATATTGAAATAGTTCATTTAACAATCAAATTTTCATTTTTCTATAATTTTAGGGTGAAACTTTACATGACGTTCAGTGGCATCCGACACGTCCGATCATACTTTCGATAGCCAATGGTCTTGTTTCTGTTTGGACTCAGGTTAATTTTTTTGTGCTTTTTATTTGATTTTTAGCTTCCGACTGACTGTTTAAAAGGAAAACTCAAAATTTTTAGGCTCATGTTGAAAATTGGAGCGCCTTTGCACCTGAATTCACTGAACTGGAAGAAAATGTGAAATACATCGAAAAAGAGTCAGAATTTGATTTGGAGGACGAAGATGCGGATGAACCAACTCCACAAACTTCTAAAGTCTTTATAAATTTTGAAATAAATTCTTTCAGATGGAAAATAAGTTATTAAAGATTGCAAATTATGGTGCTTAGATTTTGGATTTTGTCTTTATCATATTATTTTCATGAATTTATTAAGAATTTAAAATGATTGTCATAATTAGGAAGAGGACGACGAAATTGTTGACGTTGTAACTCTTAAACCAAACGCTGTGTACTGTAGCTCGGATGAAGATGATGATGGTAGCATGTATGTCACTGATTTGACTGCTAAACGTGGCCCGCTTTGGTTTCTGCCAATTGCACCCGAAATCGAAAATCCGGAAGAAAATCCTGCACTATTATTGACAGGTGTTTATAATACTTTGCAATGTTAGAAATTTATTTGTACTAGGCTTTAATGTCCTAATTTTATTTATTTACTTTTTTTCGTCCCTTACATTAGTTTTATTCAGAAACAGAAGAAATGACAAATACGCTTGACGCAGAATCTTACTCAGGTTTTATTCAGTATATTTTTCTTTTTGCGATTCGATTTTTATTTTTTTCTGTTCATTCATGTTTCTTCTTTTACTTTTATATGTGCCAGTCTGAAATATAAAACTGATTTATTCCTTAGTTTTCATTTCAGGTAGTCGAAAAAGACCCACGACTTATACTACATCTAGCGTTATTTCGATGCGCAATATGACCAAACAACGAAGAGTAAAATAATACTTTTGAAATTACAAAGTTCTGTAAATTTTGCCATAGTGCCATATTGATGTCTGTTTTTTTTGTTTTTATTGTATCTTGGCCAGCAAACATATTTCACATGTCAGAAAACTTTAATTTCAAGTACGATGAGAACTGTTTCTAATGTATTTTGATTCTTTTATGTTCTGAGTGCCAAAAATTATCTGTGATAAGTGTAAATTATGCGATTTCGTCGAAATAAGAAACATTATTTAAGTATGCATATTGATTTTTGACATTTCAATACCAATTTTCTTAAATGACGAGCTTGGAGAGAATGGAAAAGATGAAACAGCTGACTAAAATCAGTACTTTTTGCACTACTAAACTACAGGAAAGGGTTGAATTATAACTGAAGTATATTTAACTGGTGTATTACATTTGCATTTGCTGTATCGTGAAACTTGTGCAACAAGTTGTGAATTGACTTTTTTGCATCTAAGAGTGGTTACAAAGAGAAAGAAATGAAATAATTTATTTTATATTTTTTTGAAATGATTGTCAAGTACCACTGCGTCGTTATTAGCTGTAAAAGACAGCTCTTGTGAAAGTTTGAAGCATTTTACTCCATTGATTACTGTTGTAAAATTTTTTTAAATCGAAATGGCTCGCGGTTCATTTCGTCCATTGCTTTGTTCGCAGGGTTACTCGAACTGTTTTGCTGCGATGCATTACCGCATTCTTTCATCAATGTCATCAAATCCTTTGAAGAATTGCAAATATCGTGAATGTAGTCGTAATAAATACTTTAAATCCTAATTGGTTCATATGGTCTTTGCATGTAATGTAGTTCTTAAAGTTTGGTTTTGGATTTCTTGACAGAGTTCTAGCTTTTCTAGTCTATAGTTTTTCAACTGCTCTATCATTATACTTTCTTTTTTCCGTCCATACTTTTTCTGTTTTTTCACTGTTACTGTTGTTACTATTTCATATTTTCCAATTGGATCCTGCGTTGATTCTTATTTTTCCTGTTCGATTGTTTCCACCATTCCTTGGTTGAATGGTTCAAATACATGCTTTTGTTGTGAGTGGTTCTGATTCCTTTTACATGAATAGTGCAGCCCACATATTTATTCGTTTTGGAGCAGTTTCGGTGGATGAATAAAACTGATGAAATCGTTATCAACCGGACTTGTTTTTATGTCTCATAATGTAAAGATGAAGTCTTAAAAATTTAGGTATTTTCGTCATTTTAAATCTTATAATTTATTTGTCACGAGGGTGAATTGCAGCATGACTCTTTCGATTACAAATATCGTATACACTGACCAATCTTTTGGTCTAAATTTGCAATATATTTATTGAGACTTCCTGGCAGATGAATGTGCACTTTTTTAAAAAGTTTTTCTCATCGTTATATTAACTCTGTCACTGTAAAACATTGAAAGTTGATGAGAAAAAAAAGTGACTGCTATTATTGAAGATAAAACATGTGATGCAAAGAATTATGATTAAATCCTGCAGCTTTTTTGGTTAAAAATTAAATATGACAGGAGATGCTGAAAGCAAATGTTTTGCTAATCATGTAAGGAAATTTCTAATGAACATAGAAAACGAATGAGACAATGGCGCTTTTTCTTGAAGCTTTCAGTGTCAAAGTAATACATTTTCAAGTGATAAGGGAGTTCGAATAGTTTTCTCACTTTCGAATGTTTCATAAAAATTATTTTAATAGAATTTGTATATTTGGGCTGGTTGTTCAGAAGATCTCAGGTGAAATGCTTGGTTTTTGAATAGAAATCATTTGTTAAAAATCACAACTTTTATAAGTTCATATTATTCGCAAAATACGAATTAAATTCTAGCTACTAATTCAGATTTTGTTCATTTTTTAAAGACTTAAATCTTAGTTTGAAAACGTTTAATTTTAATTTTTGGGATTATAATTTCCTAAAATAATTCATTCTCTTATAATTAACACTAATTATCATGATCAAATTTCAATATAAGCTGTTATAAAATTGAGACATAAACATAGCAAAGTGGTTTTTGCTTGAAGTTTGAATTATGCATCAGTTGAAGTCGGATTTGTGAAAAAGATCGACAAGCCATGAGAATCATAACGTTTCAGTGTTGGTCGAAAATGAACTTTTATAGAGTTGTTTCAGAACGAAGCAGAAATGCGTTTAAGAAGAATGAAATTCCTGAGAAGGCTGTAAGAAAATCTTTTGCTGAACACAAAAATGAAGCGATAAAATTTTTATGAGATTTTAAAATATTAAACTTTCTGTTTTATATTGCAGAAAAAATGGAGTGTTTAGAATTTTAAAAATTAATCCTAGTTTTAAGTCTTTAGACAAACCAAAAAAAAACATTAAAAACTTAAGTTTTTCTCTAAAAATAATTATTGTAATTTAGTTAATGTTTACATTCACTTTTTCTTTAAAATGCACCATTTTTGCCAATTAATTTTCTTAGATTGGCAGCTATTTGAAAATGAGTTAGCATATTTTGAACACATTTACTCAATTACTGAGAATTACGAACACATTTACCGAGATTACCATTTTATACAGAAGAGCAAAGTATGAGGCCTATTCGTTTCAGTATTTTCCGAGTCTCGAATATTTCTTCGTCACACATTAGCTTTAGTTGATAAGTGTTTCGCTTTTGATTGCCTACGACCTGCAAGTTAATAATGAATAGTGAATTGTGGATTTGCATAACTATATTCTAAGAAGCATTGAATTATTGAACTTAAATTAATTATCTACTTATAGGCTTAACCAGCGGCGAGTTGATGGAATTTTTTCTATTGTTCAGGCAATATTTGCAATAATTGTAATCATCATTCAAGCATCTATTATCATTTATTTGGTGGAAGAAAGAAACCATGAAATTTACGAGTCAGTAATAAAATCAAATAATGATTTTACTCAATATTTCAATAATGAAAATAGTAGTAATCGAACGATAATTGTAATCACACCGACATACTTGCGACTTGCACGACTAGCTGACATGACCAGGTAAATGGCCATCTATTAACTGATTTTGAAGTTAAAAACAAATGCCAAATCCTGTTTTCATCACACTGTTTTTTTTTAAATCACACCAAGTCAGTGGACTCACCTCATTTATATTTTATAATTTTCTAAAAAATAATTTTCTACTCCAGATTATTTCGAGGTTCAACTTTGGAAAAATCAGCTGCAAAATTTTAGACAATAGAATCTTCTCCTGCTCTACATTAATTGCATATATATCGTAAACAAAGACAGAAATTGCTAATTATAAGTGATATTCAAACATCGAACTAATTATAAGTCTTTATTCAATAATTGCAGGTTATCACAAACATTGATGCATATCAGTCAATTGATTTGGATTGTTGTAGAAGATGCCGCACATATATCATTACCTGTAAAGCAATTATTGGATCGTAGTAATTTGCAGTATTATTATTTGGCTGTGAAACGTCGACCTGAAGTGCCAGGTATGCAGTTGATATTTGGATAACTTGACATAAGTGCAATAATAGTTCCATCAACTTTTGATTTTTCCCATTCTCAAATTTCACTTTCATAATACTTCTTTTTATCCTTTTATTTTTATTCAAATTTTCTTGAATGTTGATATTTAGTTCTAAACTTAATTGTTTTTTTTTTATTATCACTTCAATAATCAGTCAGATCAATCAAAAAAGAACTGCAGCACGTGGTTGGACCGGACGTGATGCTGGATTGAATTTTGTTCGAAGACGATTTGCATCGATGGGTAACAATGCGGTGGTATATTTTGCTGATGATGACAACACTTATGATATTCGCCTTTTCAATAGATACATTCGAAATGTTGAAAAAGTTGGTGTATGGGCTGTTGGTATGTATTCTAACTTTTGTTCTCATGCAAAATTCTATTAAGTAAAACATGCAGATTTAAAAAAATTTTCAGTACTGAAAATTAAATAGTCTTATCATTAAAATATGCACATACTTTTCTTATTAAGACATATCTTGGGATTCACAGCAAAAAAAATTCTGCTGCTTGTGTTCAGATCAATCAATCTTCTTTTTAGATTTCAAATTAGTTGTAATTCAGATAAATTAAAAATACAAAGTTGTAGAAGTGAACTGATTGTTTAGCAAAACTGTCTGGGATGCATTCATCGCCTATTCATTATTTCTTCCGGATCACACTTCTTGCGATATGACCTAGAAAAGCCGGAAAGCCAATTATTCCTTATTTTCCATTTATTGTTCTTATTTTCCTTCCGTTCATTTCGTTGAGTGATTACGGAACATACAAGAATTTCCTCAAAACGTATGGAATATTTCCATTTGCAGGTTTGGTAGCATACAATACGGTCGAAGCACCGAAAGTTCTTAATAAAAAAGTGGTCGGTTGGCAAACAATTTATGCACCAAAACGTAAATGGGGTTTTGATATGGCTGGATTTGCTGTAAATCTTCAACTTCTTTTGCAACATCCAAAGTACGCTTTTCAATAAATCTAATCTTGGGATATAAAGATTTAAATTTCCTTTGGATGAGTTCAAAATTCCATCAAAAGTTGCTTAAATTAAATGGTTTCCTGTTTTCACAATTTTTAACTGAAGGCTTCCATTTGCTTCTTTTTTTTTGATCTTACTTTTTTCATCAAAAAAAGGAAGAGGGAAAATTTCATGATATGAATCACTTTCGAATACCCTAATAGTTCCCTTATCACTCTTTCTGCAGAGCAGGATGGAGGAGAAAGTGTCGCGAACATTCACCAGAACCATGTCTAATGAATAATCTGAATATAAGCTGGGATGACTTGACACCTTTTGGCGTGAATTCGTGGCCACGTGATATTCTTGTCTGGCATACCAAAACTACTGTTAACATCAAAAGCACAAATACTTACGGTTATAATACTGAAGTAAGCCCTCAAGCTCTATAGCTTCATTTTACAAATTATTTTCATTCGTAGTCGGTTAATATTTAATATATAGAAATTCTAGTGAAAATATGCAAAGCTTAAAAGTGGATCTAACAATTGATTTTTGATCTAACTCGCATCTTTCTGTTTGAGATTTCGTCAAATCAATTTATGATTAAAAGTGCATTGAAAAAAGAATTAAGAGAAAAATGGAAAGCATATTTTCATTTGGACAAAATAAGTGTGAGTGAAGTGCATTACAAAAGAAAAAAGAGTTTCGAGAGTAATAAGAATTCAGTATAAGCATAGACCTTTGAAAAATTGGGGATTTGAGTTTCAAATTTTGAGAAGAATGAAAATTAGAGTTAAGAGTTTTGCGTAAAAAGTTGCTTTCTTTAATTTCACACATTTCATTTATCGGAGAGTTTTGGCCATCTTTGTCATGCAGAATTCATACAGAATGAGGGCCTTGATCTCTCACCAGCACTTACCGTTTCAAATTCTAAGACTGATAAATTCTTTACTCTAAATTATTGAAATTTTGAGCAGGGAAGAAAAAAATCAAAGCATGGAAACTCCTCACGAATTAAATTATATTCGGTGTAATGTATAGGAACTAATGTCATGCAATTATTTTACCGATTTTATGACCAACTTTTAGTATAAGTATCTTTAAAACTCCAAAATTGTTAATTTTTTGACAGTACTTTACTTTTATATTATGATTACATGGATAAATAACGCATAAAATGGTATGTCATAACAATATTTCATCTTCTACATATTATAAATAATTTATATCTTTGAGCATTTTTATAGTGCCATATTGTTGTACTATTTGTTTGTAATCATTAAAATGCAGAATTGTTATTGATAAAAATGATATGTAAATATTTTCTATCCACATCTTCAATCAACTTCTTCTAGTGGTTTACATAGCCGTCAGCAAAGCCTGACAAATTATTATCAACATTTGCTGATATTCAATTCTTCACGCATTTTTTCTCAGGTATAACCGAAGCACACAAACTATTGAACAGTTACAGCTTTACCATCGTTGTTGATATTACGACTCTTTCCAAATTTAAAAGCAATGTTTAAATTTTGAAATTTACTGATCGATATATCTTTAATGCATATATATCTGATTTCGAAAATAATCGTTTTATAGCGAATATAAGTCTGTTTATAATCTGGAATAATCTGGAAAAAAAATATCTGGAAAAAAAAAGTTTTAAATTCGATAGTCCAAAATTTCATAGACAGAAAATACCAGTGAAATGACCAAATTCTTCGTTCATTGATATCCAGCAATTTTTTTTTAATTTCAGCAAGCAAAAAGACCTTGGTTTTGGAAGTAACGAAAATATGCATACCAATGAAACTTTCAGTTTCCATGAAAAGTATTTATTGTTTATGACAATTTCAATTTTCACAATTGCGGACTTTCAGCAAGTACATGAATACTTAAACTTCGTTGTCGGGAGTTTTTGTTTGTGAAATTTGACGATGAATGGTAATATGTCATTGTACTACGCTTTCGCCGTCTCGTATTATTCCTGAAGAAAAAATATGAAAATTTTTCAAAATTATAGGTATTATTCCAAAATATAGGAATAAACGAAAAGTCAGTTGGGAATTAATTCTATCTCACTTTTCATTACAACTGTAATACTGTCATTCTGCTTATTAAGGCGATAAGAAGTTAGTGCATTAAAATAAAAAAATATGTCACAAATCTACTCTTTCTTTCTCCTTCCTGAAATATAAAATAGTGTGATGCGTCGCATTTTCTTGAGATCAAATACGTTCGCAAGTTCTTATCATCGGATAATCCTACGATCTCTATCTTTTCCTCTCAATTTACAATAAGTAAAGGAAGCAACGATTTTTTATTTAACTTAGGAAAGACATCGGAATTTCACATGTTAAATAATACATTTAGAATTTCACTAATAAATGTAATCATTTTTTTATAGAATATTTCTTCTCCATTCAAGTTATTACGAAAAAATATTATTAAAGAACGATGAATTCATCCCTGTGAACATCGAACTTTAGTAAAAATTTAGTTTCCATAATGATTATAGAAATGAAAACCTAATCAGTTCTCTGAGATCTCGATTCAGTACAGCATAGAAAATCCAATTCAATGCAGAATTCAAATATGTTAACCAATTTGCTAATATTGGAATCCATAACACCCAGGCATGTTTATCATTGACCCGATTTATTGCTCGTATTGATACCAATACCAGTGAGCATGCCTGAAATTCAAAATTTTTTTTAATCAAATTTTTGAACTTTTGGAAGATTTCCGCAGCGAAAGTAAATTTGTTTATTCGGATTTAAAAGATATTCCGTTTTCTTTTTTTTTGTATACAATACTGAAGAATAGATTGACAATTTGTATGTCAGTTAAAAAAGTTACCTCAGTGGGAATCATCGCAATAAAGCAAAACGGAAACCAACAAATCATGTGAAATACAGCAACACGTATAATGGATGAAGTCATTGCACGTACGTATCGTGGCTCCGATAATCGATGATGCTTGCTACTGCAGTTTGCCGATTCTAAAATATACTCCAACATTAACCTTTCAAGATGAAAAAATGTTCGTAAATAGAAAACCGCATAGACTCAGTCTTCACGTATACAATAGTTCATGGTAAAATAAACAACGAATAAAACTTTCGAAAATTTAAAAGTAAATTGAAAAACTATTGCAATATTGATAGTTATAAGCTTCCAATTTACAAATCTAAAAGATAAATTAATTGAGTTTGAAAGTTTTTACGCCGTGCTTTCCGTTTTGAAAATTTGCGGTGAACGTGTCGTACAATTTCCGCATAATTGACGCTCACGAGCATCAGCAATAAAATAAAACATGCTCCAACAAGTAGTCCAGTTAATCGATTCCACGCACTATCATCACTAATAAGACAATCCCGCCTATCAGCGGTAACATTGATCGTTTTTACGGTGAGTAGTATTGGAATAAAAACAAGGATGAATAAAAAGAAAGTTACTGCTGGAAAGCTCTGATGAAAATGTTTATGAATCTGAAATTCTCACGAAAAGTAAATGAAAAAATTATTGAAATTAATCAATCTTACACCCGAAAAACTGGGGCTAATTACTTGATTAATTTTCGAAAATTTTTTTATGATAACAACTGATTTCAATTAAATGCGGAATTAAGCTTTTCAGGGAACGAATTAAATCCAATTTATTAAAATTTGAATACAAAATTTACAGCATTAAATTCATTCAAATTAAATTACGCTATCAGTGCAAACCACCAAATGACAGAACGATTGGTTACCTGGTTATTGAAAGGCTTACGTATTGTAATATACCTTCCGATACTAATGGATGCAAGGCAAAACATTGATATCATTTTTGATAACTGCTCAATAAAATATAATCCTCGACAATTCCAAATGTCTTTAAATTTGATAACTGATAATAAACTGATCAGAACAAAAATAGTGAGATTTTACAAAAGCAAATTGTTGCAAAAATATAAGTAAAATTTTAAAGCAAAGCAATTATAATTTCATCATCACAAGAATAAATCATGTTTGCGATAAAATATCTCGGGTTTAGTTTCCGATATCAGCTGTTATTAATAAAGCAAGCATTTGTGAAAAACTGGGTGAAAATTAACAACTCGAGCAAGTCCAAATGTTTCTTCTCTGGATCTTTGATCTCTCCTACATTTTCATCCTATCACTCCAAAATATTCTTATTCGTTCTGTGGACATTTTAACTGCTTGAAACTTTTTAACTTACCGAAAGTTAGCGTTTCATCCCAAATGTATACAAGGCGTAAGGCGAGCGAGCAAACAACAAAGAAATCAACAAGAGCCAAAACAAAAATATAGCTTCTTAGACAATCGCTTGGCCGTCGTAACCAACCGTATCTTTGAGATCGCGTATTGCGTATAACGGAACAGATGACCCAAAGATTGCCAATGATACCTATTTTCATTGTTATCAGATAAAATGACCACAGGATGTATGATTGCCACATGCTGTACCTAAATCATTCTACAAACTTTTATAGTCAGTAATATCAATAATATCTCATATAAGACAGTATGACAGGACAACTCTTACAATGACTTGTCACTGATCGGTTACAATTGAATTTGAAACTCCATTTCGATTGTTTGGATAGGCATTGTTGTTTTCTGAGATCATCTCTTTAGGTGGTTGACAGAATCCAACTGAAAATGAGTGTTTGTAGTGATTGCAGCTTAAGAGAAGTCATTGTGGGATATAAAAAATATGATCTTTGCTAGGCTGCGCAAGAGTTGCTCAAATTTAATTAGTATCTTAGATACAGCATATTCGTTCTATAATTTAATTACCATTAATTTGAAGAAAGTTGCGGCAGTAATAAGAATGAGATTTAGTCAATTAAAAAAGATGAAATGATTTAAAAATAATTTTTTATCTAACTACAAGTGAAAAAATCAAGAAATAATGCTGAGATTTGCGAGTGACTAGATGAGGCATAATGGGGAAGAGAAAAGAAATGAATGAAAATGATGTTAACAATGATAAACGTCAATTTTATATTTCGTTCAAAAACTCTCTCAGGGAAGTCATTGCTTGTAAATGTTATGAAAGTAAAGCAGAATTTTAATTCAAAAATATAGAAACCTAATGTTTTGATAGCAGAGCAGTAAAATCTTGTGAAAAAAAGTATATCTATAAGCCAAGAAATTTGAAATCTCTATGTGAATAGGTTTCAATTATTTTATCCAATGATTACAAACGACGAAATTGAATGGAATTTGAGAATAAAGATATTTAATTTTTGAGCTTACAGTTGCTGTTGCTGATCGATCAAGTAAGCTTTTATCATAAATGTACATAGCAATTTTTATCATCCATTCAGTTGAACCAAGTAACGTACGTAGTTAGGAAGAGCTCTTTCTCTACTATCCTAATGACATAAAGAAGAACTGTCTCAAAGAAAAGTTCCATAAGCAGCTAGGAAGAGAGATCAAATAGAAAGTTAATGCTTATGTCCATTCGGAAAGCGCTTGTGGTACAAAATGTTAACAAAAAAAAAAACATTAACAAAACGCTAACTTATAAAAATGCTATCAAAAACAAATTTATCCATATGTTAAATAATATGATTACTGGAGATGAAAGAGATGTGAAGGTCACTACCATAAATTTCACTGTTGGATTTCTTTCCTCTCCAACATCTCCTCAAAAACTTCCCCACAATTAATGTTCAGGAGATGGACAGTTGGATGCCATTATTATTGAAATGACCGTGAAATACATTATGATGCGTTATGCGCTCCCACCACAATCCATCAAAATTTTAAAACTCTCATGTTACCAACTAAAAACGGGGTCATCCAAATTATTAATGATCATTCTTTGATTATATATACTTTCCCTCTTTTGCAAAGTAAGTTTTTAAGCCATTTGTTTGGAAGAAAGGGGAAATAATTGATTCAATTGCTCAAAATCAATCATTCAACAAGAGTTATTTCTTTCTGCTAAGACAAAGGCATGTAATTTATCTAAATCATGAAGAAATGTTTCACCTCTCTTCATCGATTGTTTCTTCAAAGAAATTTGATAAAATTTTGTGAGTGATATTAAAATCGTTGAATTTCAAGAATTATTCGCATACACTATTTTTTGGTACTTAAGCCATAGAAGTAATATTTCTAGACATCTGTCAACATAAATTCGTACTTTTGGCAAACTGTAATTAGCTCTTGGAATAACATACTTCGTAAAATAAAATTTTTTACATTCAAACTATTACTTGAATGCAGTTATTTGCTCAAAGTGACGAATTAATGAAAATTAATAACTCGAAAAAATCCAAATGTTTTTTTCTGCTGGATCTTTGATCAATTAGCTTCAAATTTCAGATTTCTCTCTCTCTCCACTTCAAAATATTTTTTTTGTTCTATGAACATTTTAATTGCTTAAAAAATAGCAAACTATTTTTAAGAAATCTAAAATATTAAAAAGGCATGATTTGAAGAGGAACATATGATATCTCTGATTTTTAATTCGAGTTTTCAATATTATGAAATGTATAGGACACAAAAAAAGAAGGAAAGAAGAAATTTGTTAGGAGATTTATTTCATAAAGTTCTTATTTTATCTTAAAGTGAAGAAGAGGAGAAAAATAAAAATAAATCACATTTAGACATTTATTTCTAAATCAAGCAGCTTATCATTTTCAAAATAATTTCATGAATGACACAAATTCAATAGAGAGGAAGAAGACTTGAGCCATAAATTAAGACAAACAAAAATTTTTAGGTTTTAGAAAACATTTTAAATTCAAATATACAAGGTAAATTCCAAAGAAATACGATATAACAGGAATATCAACGCTTATCTTTAACATTATCATTATTTGTTATCAAATTTTTGTATAAAACCGTATGGAATATTGCAATGCATTTCTTTCTACTGCATGCTGAAAGAATTTATTGATTGATTAGGCCTTTGCTGAGAGATCTCAGGCGCAGATCACTAAGTCATCGCGGGTATTCTAATAGACTTTGTTTATTTGATGCTTCTCAAGCTTTTGTACCACCATGTTTTTATACTTCCAATTCAGAGCATGAAAAAAATGCGTTCGAAATCATTCGTTGAGGGAATTATGTATTTATTAGAATTTAATTGAAGTAGAAATTTTAAACCAGTATTTGACAAGAAAAAAAGCCAATGGTGAGATGAAATACGAAAAGATTGTCTTTTATTACTTACTGTGTCATATTCAGTACAGAAGATAAGTTAGAAAGTTGCATAACATTTGATAAATTTGAAAATAAATTTATAAATGCTTTTACACGTAAACTTTTTACAGCGTTGCATTTCGACTTTTCAACTCGCTTACTGCCACAGCGTCATTATAAAAGAAGCGAGCATTTGTTAAATAAGGCTGTGGGGTTTGATTTTTAGTCTAACATTTGTGTTCTCCCAGAGAACTTGATTTCAATAGTGAAAATTTCCAGAAAAGCCAACTTCTTTCGTAATACATCTGCATATTTGCTAAACTTGAAATGCTTACTGAGTTAAAAGCCTAATAAATGTTTGGATGAAGTATAATATAAAATAAAGAATGAAAAGAAATTACTTGCGACAATGTAACGATAGCACCACTCTGATGATAGTAAAACCAGAAGCACCGAAGCGGAAATAAAACCCATTTTTGTTGCAGTCCTTTAAAGAAATCGTTATCAATATCTGTTATAAGCTAAACAACACATCACAAACCGGTTATTTTTGGTAACTCTTCAAGACATCGATCACAAGATAAAGACATCTGTCAACAATTGGAAGTAATAAGGAGATGATAAATAAAATAGAATGAAGTCAGGAAGAGAGGGAGGAAGGTATAAAAGTACTGATAATGAATATATGTCGGACTTAATGACCAATAAAGATAGAAAATGAAAAATATTATTATGGGAGGTAGATTGATAGAATCTCTCTATACCACAGTGAGAGAAAGATTGAATGGATTTGGTAATTCAGTGATTCCGTTAATCCCTCTATTTATTCATTTCGTCAATCAGTTGGGAATGATAAATAGGAATGAAAAATTTGAAAATAGCATAATAATTTTACAATAATATGCTATTATACTGAAAAAATTACTGATAAGTATAAAAGCATTCCATTCACACTTTGAATTTTTCAAAACTACAAATTGAAAAAATTTATAAATAAATTTATTTATAACAGCATTTACAACAAATATAATGATATTTCAATTGAAAAAGTAGAGGAGCGCTGATTTCCTCATTTGACTTTTTGACCTCTGATCTTGAATTCAATTCAATCCAGGTGTAAAAATATATTTTCAATTCTCTTTCTCAAAAACTATGCTTTTGACATCTCTCTATGATTGAATGGATCTACATTACCAAAGAGTAATACGTAATTTAAAATTTAAATGATAATTAAAAGAGTTTCAGGAAAAAATACCAACGAACATTATGGAACACTTGCAAAGAGGAACGCTGTAACTGTTAATGTTAAACTTTGAATGAATCCAAGGCCTATACAATAACAATGTGAATTCGCAAAAATAAATAATACAGATTAGGCAATTAAAAATTAGAGCTAAAAACTTGAAAGTTTGAATCAAAATGTTGAAATTGAATGTTAGGGAAGATATGATAGGATAAAACTGTTATGAAATTTTGATAATAGTTAAAGCAGCAGAAGAATGAAAGGATAAAAAAAGATTTTAAGAGAAAAAAATTTAATAAAGAAACGTGAAAACTGAAGGGACAGGATAAAAAAGATGTTTACGCCATGTTATTTTAAACTGCCATTTTTGTCTTTTCAAAGTGAGTCTCATGTAGAAAAAATCTGGAAGGGAACAAATGTTGTCGATTTACAGTTTAAACTTTGTGGAATGTTAAAAAGTCATACTATAGCTTACATGTGTTAACCTATTTCAATGCAAATTGAATTTGAATATCAATTCTCGCACTCCAAATATTAACGGAATAAAAGCAAAAAGTAGTAAGTCACAAGTAAGTTTTGGATGATCTTTTCCGAATATAAAAAATTTGAAGTTGGGTGAATTTGGGAATTGTAAATTTTTAAAAAAATTTATTTGTTTCGCAACCCGTGAAGTAAATATTGTTCAACTGATATGATACTTTCGTGTAAAATAACTTAATAGATTTTTTTATTTTCTTCCTAAAATTCTGTCTATTGATCTTACTAGATATTATCAAGCGAGTAGCGAAAGAATTAGTTTGGATTTCATGAATTTGAAAAACTTGAGTATATATGTCGAGAATGATTATTTGCTATTTAATGTTTGCACGAGATCTTGTTAGAATGACCGAAAATACAACAAGAGGTAAACAAGTCAAAATATCGAAGAGTAATTTAAAAGTGGATATTCTTAAGAACAATAAAAGAGAGTAGTGGAAGGAGAGAAATTGCGAGTAGAATATTGGTTTAATCTTGAGCAACAAGCGAATCCTTTGGAGACAAAAGGTAAATTTCTTT